TATTGTATATCACAGAATTATTACCAGCTATTGCCATAACCTATCCCTTTGACCACCAAACTTAATTGTTATCTGCCTTTTTTTAAAAGAAAGAAATATGTTCCTCTTAAGAAAAACAAAAACAAATTCTCTACTTGTTACTCAACTATAACCAAAGTCAGGTTTCTTCCAGTGTTTTTAAGATCATTCTCCTGGTGAGGAAATAAGTGCTCAAGCAAGAGAGGATCACATGTCTCTCTCATAATTCCTGCAGGTGATCACAAACTCAACCCAGACAACGATGCAGGAAGAGACCAGTCTCTAGTCTCCAGTCTGGAGAAATGTTCAAATCTTGCTATGCAGAAGATGGGGAGGTGCCTGCTGTGACCCTGGCAAAGTTCCTGACCTTGTAACTCTATCCGCTCCACAGGCCTAATTTTATTACGGGGCAGGAGTTTTTTTTTACTTCTTAGTCTCTGTCCACATAAAAAGTGGAAAGAAAAGGAAAGTTTGTTCCTCTTACAGGCCACATATTTACAGCCTCTTTTCTACTACAGAAGTTTGAGTCTCTGAGCCGAAGACATGACTGTATAGACTGGGAGAGTGGCTTCTTCACGGATGATAAATGTCTTGGGTTGGCCAACACATTAGCATGATTTTTTTAAATGCTAAACATGATTTTATTTTCTTACTTATGGACTACTTTGCAAGTACAATCTCCCTCTTCTCTGTATTTAATTATGATTTCCCTTCAAATCTGACCGAGTAGATTCAAGAGAAAGAGAACCACTCCAATCTGCTCTTTACTCTATCTCCTAAGGTTACCTCCTCAAAGTTACCCTTTATAACTGCTTCCATTGGAGGTAGAGATAGCTACTAACAGTTTTGTTCTTCAAATATGCAAAGCTCTCATGGACTCAGTGAGGTCCCTGAAGTTTGGAAATATGTGAAGAAAATAGCTGATTGACTTGTGGTTCTCAAGATTTAAGCTTGTCTCTGGTGAGAATTTACTGAAAGATATTATCTAGCAGGAGAGTACATGCAAGGGGCAGAAACAAGATGAATGATCAGAGCAAGAGATCACAGAGCAGCCAATTAACAACAGTAGGCTCTCTGTTTTAAAGGTTCATCATCTCCTAAATCTCTATGCTAAGAACACCTCTCAACACAGTAACCTCTAGGAGATAAACTCACATCATATCCAAACCATGGCAACCAGCACCTAACACAGAGGATGCCTTGCTGTGGGATAATGCTTTTGTACACTAGTTTAATAAAATACTGATTGGCCAGTAGCCAGACAGGAAGTATAGGCAGGACAAGCAGACTAAAGGAATGCTGGGAAGAGGAAGAGCTGAGTCAGGAGTCACCGGCCAGACACAGAGGAAGCAAGATGTGAAGGCAGAACTGAGAAAAAATACTAAGCCACATGGCTAAATATAGATAAGAATTATGGGTTAATTTAAATGGAAGAGCTCGTCAATAATACACCTGATCTAATGGCCAAGCAATTATAATTAATATAAGCCTCTGTATGTTTACTTGGGGGACACAAATGGGAGAGATTTGTCCTGACCAGGGGCCAGGTGGGAAACAGGAAATCTTCCAACTACAATGCCTCTTGTCAAGCATTCAGTGGTTGGTTTTCAACATTAAAATTAATTATACAAGGCATATATAAGGATCCAAATGGGACCAATTTTGCTGTACGCTATTCAAAGAGCAAGCTGTAGATGTAACTGCTAGAAAAACATTTATAGACAAGGTAAGATTTATAGAGAACTTTCCATATCTTAGAACTTAAGAAAGAAAAAAAGAAAGAAAGAAAGAAAGAAAGAAAGAAAGAAAGAAAGAAAGAAAGAAAGAAAGAAAGAAACATACATACATACATACATTCTGGTTATATTATTTAACCTTCAGATCAATCTCATGAGATAAGTGATATATCATTAATTTACAAATGATAAAATCAAACTTGGAGGCTTTCTTTCTGATTCTGCACAGCTAGAAAGAGGTGGGACTTAGATGACATTGGTATCTTCTAAATGTCTATGTCTTTGCTCTTCCCTAGCTATCACATATAACTTAGAATAAATGAGGAGAAATGCAGGAAAATATCCTAAGCATGGAAAAACAGGAGCAAACGCTGCTAAGAGAGAAAGAGTAGTTTAAAAAGAATTATGTATTGAGAATGGCTTCATGGGGAGAATGGGAACTTATATGCAGACCTTATAAAGATGAGTCGATAGTGAAAGGCATTTGAACAGCTCATGATCAATGCTTCTTAACTAAGCTTCCATTTGTCCAAAATTTAATACAGAATAAATTGTGGTTAGAAAGCCTTTGTTTTATGAACACTTTAATGTATCCCTTTTCTATTTTATGAGATATCATTGTTTTATCATCAAACATAATGATATATTGTTTTTTCTTACAACATTAGAGAGTAAAGTTACTATTTCCTTTCTTTACAAACATAAGTTATAGTTTTCAACATGTCTTTCTTTTTTCATTAATTTTTGCTTCTACTACAGATAATGATAAAGCACGTTTCTTTATTCCCCTTGGAAACTTGTTTGGGAAAACATACTACATTCAGACTTAAAAAGTAGAATTAGGCATTGTTATTTTGTTTTACTTTGATGTTTTTTTTGGTTTGTTTGTTTTTCTTTATTTGGAGGTGGGTTTGTTCATTTGTTTGTTGTCTGGGTTTTGTTCATTTGTTTGTTTGTTTGTTCTTTGAATATGTTTCCTTAAACCTGGCAACCCCAAGGATGCACAAATGAGTTGATATTCCTGATAACTGTTTAACAAGCTGGTTCCATTATTATTGATTCATTACAACAAACAGAACTTTCAAAAGAAAAAAAATAGGACAAGTGAGGGTCACTTAATTAGATAAATGGACCTTGATAATTAGACAGTTTTGGGAAAGATAATGTATTTGTCAGATGTATTTAGGACAGTTTATTCCATAAATATCCCCTGGAGATGTTAATTCCTCTTGTGCTTAATTGTGATGGGTTTCTGTACATATCCTGATGATATTACAGGATTTCCTGGTCTGTTAATTGCCTTCTACAAATGACAGAGATCTCATCCCTGCCTTAATGACTAGCTAAAGAATTCTGGCTTTAGTAGGTTATTAGCAACAGGAAATAGAGCTTATGTAATTGAAATTTATCTCAGACAAAAAGAGACAGAAAATAAAGACAAGAAAGGCTGGGAGGCCTAACAGTTGCATTCCTTGCTATTGGAAAGTAAAGACTGAAAAGGAATGATTCTGTTCTAAAATGGTTAATATCATCTTAATTTAATTGAATCTCCTTTAAAACTACTTTTATGCTACTTTATATTAGTAAGGTAATTTTACAGTATGTTCAATAAGAACTAATGATCATGTGCCAATAAAGGTTCTGAATTGCTTATAAAGTCTACATGAAAACCTAAATATAAATCTGCTTTTAACCCAGTACATAAAATGCATTGAAAGGAGGCTTTGATGTTTTCCATCAGTCAAGTAATCAAATAATAACATATAATCACAGTCAGCACATTGCAGAAGAATGTCAACTGTTTAAAAACATTTGTTTTATATGCACATAGTTATAATTCAAATTGCAGAGATAAACTTCAACATGTGTAGCAACAATAGGAATTTATATGCTCTAAAAGCAGAAAATAAAACACAAGAAAAAAGAAAGGTTTCTTATAGCTTCAGATAGAAACATGAGTATAAATCCAAATTTATACTCCTGAACCAAGTCAAGTCAAATTCAGAAAAAGACAATGCATGTAAAATTACTTGATGTACTTGATGTCTTGGCAAACATGAATTAAATGCCTTAGATCTTATTTGGTTTCAAGAGTGCACATATAAAAAAGTAATGATGATTTTTATTTCTCAAATTCAATCAGACAGATCTTGAGATCCTCCTGGTAAGATGAGAAGTTAGACACAAACTTTCCATAACTAGTCAATGAATAAAAAATAATAACTTGAAGGGTTTCTTACATACTGTGGAGGAAAAGTAGAAGCTAAAAGTACTGTATTTTCCCATGAAAATGCAGAGTGGAGATGGCAGATGGCTGTCAGCCTGCAGTAATGGAAAGGGAGATGCTCCAGCACGTGTCAAAACTCGAAAGACTTTTATTACATATATTTATTTATTTTTGTGTATGTAGTTGTGGGGTCACACACATGCTGGTGGGTGTGTATGTGTAGATCAGAGTTTGACAACTTGAGAGAATCAGTTCTCTCCTTCTACCACATGGGTCCTGGGGATTGAACTCAGGTCTCCAGTTAGCTTGGCAGCAAACATCGTTACCAACTGAGCCATCCTCCAGCCTCATCCTCTATGTACTGGCATTACAGAGATGTACTTGCATACACAGGTAATACTGTAATACTTGAAGAGTGCTACTATTTGAAACATTCCCATTAGATTCATTGTGAATTTTCTTCTTTGTTTTATAACATATTTTTATTTATACCCTTTTATTGGTTGGGGTTTAGTGTTTTGTTTTCTGACTGTTGTTTTGCTATTGTGTTTATTTCATTGTGGGTTTCATTTGCTTCTGTGTTTTTGAGACATGGTCACACTATGTAGCCAAGCCATCCTTAAACTCCCCATTATTCTTGCCTCCATGTCCAAATTTGTGCACATTTGTGTTCTGACCTGTTCTGTCTGTTTTCTCTCTTCTTTCTTATTCTTGTTTTTTTTTTCTATTCTTCTTGCAATAAAACTCTCTCTAACTCTGTGATACTACAGAGAGACCCTAACTGAAAAGGAACCAGTCAAGCTATCAAACATGCTACAGGGAGAGGATTTGATCCAGAACCAGACAATGAAGAGCACAGGATTCTGCCTGATGGAGAAAAGCATCTTTGTAAATTCATTGTTAAGCCAACAAGCAATAACCCTTAAGAAGGTATGTACTTCTTTGCTACCAAGCAGAGACTCTGCTTCAAAATGGCTCCAAAATAGAGTTTTATTAACTTGTGGAGATTCCTGACAACATTTTTTTTTTTCTGAGTCAATATGAATTTTATTAACACACATCTGTCAAAGTCTGTACAAACCAAAACATTCCTATGTTTTAAAATGTCCATTATTACAAACATACAAAGAAACAGAAGGTGTTACCAAAAGTTACTCAATTTCATGGTAAAACGCTGTCATGATTTTTTAAAAAAATCAACATTTCAAGACTGAGGTTTCCTCTTTACCGTTCAGGAGCTCATGGTAGTTTAGAAAATGTATAGGTTTGCTGAATATTAAATGCTAAGACCTTAAAAAAAGATTTAGTATAAAACTAAATGAGCGTCTGTGTACTGTCTCATTTCCCACGCACGAGTTCTCAGTTTTACCTTTTGTTTAAGAGACCAGGACTGTAATTCTTTTTCTACCAACTTTTTCCCACAGCCAACACAAATGACCTGAAATATATCGTATGGTAATTTATCTTTACCTAAAAGTTTCTCATTCAAAAAGTTACAAAACGATTCAGCAAGGCAGTTTTCCCTGCTTAGAAGGGAAAGCTGCGTTCCCTACCACAGTACTTTATGAACATGTCCTTCGAGCCTCCTGTCAGAAAGAGCCCTCATGGCCGTACCTCTGTCCATTTGTCTGAGAATGCCACCGCACACTAGAGAGCACTGTGGACAAGTGACCGTGACTGCTCTGACGCTGGTGGACTGTGGTATAAATGTCACCTGTCTCCATGATCTGCTCTAACGCCAGCAGCACCTGCACTGATCCCAAGGTCTGTTCTGGGTCAGGGTACATACAACCCATTTCTAGTTTCTTTCACAAAAATCCAAGAGTGAGGCTCCACATCCGAACCTCTCCCTTCCCACCTGCCTACTGGGTCACGATGGGAGAAGGGCATGCTGGGGGAGACCCCGCTGCTGCCAGGAACCCTTGTTCTCTAGACATTCTCAGTCAGAACAGGGAGCTCACAGGATGGGGTGGACAGAGGGAGGAAGTGCAGTGAGACTCCTCCCCATCACACAGCCCATGCCTAAGCAGTCCATGCTAACCCCGGGAAACACACAAGAGTTCAAATCTCATCCCACTTGATCTGCTCATGTTAAAAAAACAAAAACACCGTGCTCTGTTGACAGCCTGGCGTGACAGCTGACACGAGCGGATGTTTTTAAAAAAGAAGTGGCAGTGTGGGAATTTAACATTATGTGAAAGAAGAGGGAGGGGGAGGGAAGCGTCCAGTACAACCTGGACAACCGTTCTTTCTGCCCTTACTTAAAGACAGACTGGTCAATGCTCTGCACCCTAAGCATCTCCTCAAATGCTCTTCCACAGAGTCCTCCAAAGGCACTTAGCTCCACACTTACACCTCCAGCATTTACCTTAGCCTTAAGACTCTAAGGTAACGAGAAAAAAATGATTGGATTCTTTTACTAAAAGCTAGCAAACAGGTTTGGATTTTTTTTTTCTTTTTTTTTTTTTGAAGAGGCATTGCTTTTACAAGAACTAGCCAGCCTACCATCATTCCTTTATCAAGAAAAGGTTTCCTTTTTGAAAAATAAATAAAACTCTGTCTATACATAGTACAAAGATCATACATAATATACCTGGAAAAACCCAAGAGTATACCCTGAAGCAAAAAGTTTATTGGCGAGAGAAAGCCTCTCTCAGCGCACGAAGTCTCAAGGTGGCAGTTCTCAAGGTTCAGAGGGCGGCAGTGATGCACAGTGGGTGACAGACTACTTGCGCGTGGGGATGGCAGGTGTGCCGGTGGACAGCAACTCTGCACAGAACACTGAGCAGTGACCACTATGGAAAACATCGAGTACTAAAATAGAGGGAGGAAGGAGCACAGGGGAGCAGAGGAGGGAGAGGAGGAGGGAGAAGAGAAGGGAGAGGAGGAGGGGGAGGAGGAGGGGGCCTGAAGCCCCAAATGCTCAGCATGCAGTCGTAACACGGCACAAACCAGGTGTGTCCATTCAGCCCACTACATTCGCACAAAGGGTAATGGTAAGAAAATAGAGATTTTGTAAGAAAGCACAATTCCCAGAGAACAGCCAGGTGGCCAACCCTGACCAGGAGCACCGGCTGTTGTTGCTGGGAGCCTTCTTGTGGTCCTCACGGAGACGTAATGATGCCTGACTTCTCGGACTTCTTGCTCTTGGACAAAGCAGCTGCCTGTTTGAGAAGCTCTCGGTTTTTGGCCTGCAATTGCTCTGTGACTTCTTTGTGGGTTTTCTCCATTTGGTTCATTTTGGCCCGAGTTTGAGACTCCTGATACTGAAAATCAGCCTTCAGCTCTGTAATCTTCTTCTCTTTCTCTAAGATCATCTGGTCCTTCTGATGCAGCATCTTCTTCAGAGTGGCCACCTCTTCCTTCAGCTGGGCAATGATGACGAAGTGGTCGGTGCCAGGGGAGTCCAGAGCCAGGTCTGGGGAAAAGCTGTCTCCGTTAGTTGTGATTGACTCAAACTTGGATTTTTTCTTTGGGATTTCATTTTGAATTGAAGATGTAGAAAGTGTTTTCTGGCTGTTGTAATGGCCGCCACCACCCAGGCGGCTGTACTGCCCCTTCTCCTGATGGCTGGCTCGAGAAGAGCTGCTCAGGTGTCTCCTCTGCTCTTTGGTCTTCTGAAGGACACGCTTGTAGGACAGCGTGCACAGCCAGCACAGGAGCTTCCCATCTACCTTCTTTCGATCGTCTTTCCTGTCAAACGCACACTGCTGCTTGCACTGTTCACAAGAATATGGGGGTCCATACTTCTTCTCTGAGTTCGTGCAGCGCTGGCATTTATTGCCAATAAATGCTGCAATTATGTTGCAATACTGACAAGGCTTAGGCGTTCCATACAGCTGCACGTTCTGAGCACACTTCTTGCATATTGTATTGGTTTTACTCTCCTGCTGGTACTCAGTCCTGCAGTAGGTGCACTTCACAACAGGGTGAGCAATCCGGCATTCCTTGCACAGCTGCTGCCCCTGAGACAACGCCTCGAAGGGGAAGCGCTGGTGGCACTTGGTGCAGGCGTAGAGCGCCGCCATGTCCGGCCCGGGCCGTGCTCACCGCCGCCCCGCCCGCCGGCCCGCCGCTTTATCTGACAGTCTCAGGCACAACCTGGCGGCGGCGGCCGGCGGCGGGCTGCCTCCTGACAACATTTTTGAAGAAATGTAGAAGCTACCCCATCCCTGTTTTGACAGACATATGTTGCAGTTGGTATTCCTCTCTTCCTTCTGATACTAAACCCAACTGGAGTCAGCTTCCCCTTACCCAACAAATGTCTTATTCATACGTGATACTTCTTCAACTACCCAGTTTTCCTCCTACCTTTTAAGTTAACTTAAAATATGAATTTCAGAACTGTACACGACACATACTTGTGAAGGACTAACTTCTCGGTGAATGGACAAGACAATCAAGAAGGTGTCAGAAGAATGTCAGTTCCTAGGATTACAATCAGAAAAACAAAAACAGCTGGAATTTTATTTTCGTGGTATTTATAAAACATGTTTAGTACCTTTCAGTAAGGCATTTGGGTTTCGAGCCAATCAATCTTCTCTTCTCTACTGGGGCTTAGCTTAGTCATTCTGTTATTGAAAGCTGGTTATTAAAGTCCACAGCCCCATGGTTGACTTTGGGTCTGACTTACCAACCATCCATTTGTATAGAACTATCGGGAGCCACATGGTTATGACAATGAAGTTTTTGTGAACATGGATTTATAATTTCATTTTTCAAGTTTTTCATAAAATGTATTTTGATCATGTTCCTTCCCCTCCCCCAATTCCTCCCAGATCCTGCCCCTTCCCTACCCACCCAACTCGATGTTCTTTTTCTCTCTTAAAATAAACAGTTTTGTGTTAGCCAATAACTTCTGAGCCTGAGGCCTGCAGTGAAGTGTGACTGATATCCCCAGGGTCTTGTGACCATGTTTATAACATATTATTGAGTTAGAATCCATGTTGAAGAATGAGGTGATAGCACACGTGAGCCTATGAATCTTCAGTCACCCTGTCGGGTATTTCCTGAGAAACATAGGAATTGGAACAGGGAACACTCAGTATTATTCTATGGACCAAATAGTGAGAAGGTGTGGCTTCAGTAGGACTTGTAAGGAATGGAGAAAACAGCAAGACCACAAAGGACTTTCCTGGTTACCGTTCGCCAGCTATGTTCCTGTCAGGTGGTTCTCGGGACTGCATTGTCCACCTGACCTTGGATTAAAAAAATCAAAGTATCATAGAGCCTACTCCATTCTCATTTATAATAGTCTTAGTCATTTTCTACTTATTTCATCCAGAAGAAATCAATAAATATCGGTGGGAATATTCCCATTAGAGTATTTAACATTCTAGCACATAAAGTAAGTTTCAGTCTATTAAATTGAATATTTAGAAATCACATTCAGCAAACACTTTTGAAGTTGTAAGAAATAGACAAAATTCCATGAATGAGAACTTTCCATAGGTATTGAAGAATTAGACTAAGAAAATCAAGAATAAAATTTAAAAACATGTACACGTAGATCATAGTCACATTACTCACAACAGGAAAGACTTCCAAAAAGCTACACATCATCTCCCTGTTCAGTACTATAGAATTCATCAGACCTTATGAACTATTTATCATTCTTATGCTGTAAAGCTTACAGTGATGGGCTGGGAGGTTCCTCGTTCTGTAACGTGCTTGTTCTTCAAGCACAGAGACCAGAGTTTGATTCCCCAGAACCCCCGTAAGAATCAAGGCACAGTGGCGCACACTTGCAGTCCCAGCACTGCACAGAAGGAGACGTGGCGGTCCAGGCTCCACTGCTGCCTGACAGCCCAGACTAATTGCTGCTGTTTGGCAGTTTTCCTCAGCAGACAGGAACAGGTACCTATTCACCACAGATGGGGGATAATGACAAACCACAGTACAGATAACACCGAAGTCCAATTGATGAACTAATGAGTTTATTTTGGGTTACTTAGAGTCATGTGGGTACCCACCCCAGCATGTGTGACACTCATGAAAACTAGGAACCTGGAGCATAGCAGAAAACCTGCAAGTAGCTAAACAGGTGAGACAGTGTCATTTCCTAGTAGCTCCGTTGGTCTGAAGGGGTTCAGGACAGCTCAGCTGGTCTCTATCTCTTTGGGGTGGGTTGGTTGGCCTGAGAATATCTCTCAGCTGCCCTTGCTGCATATGTGTGTGTGTGTGTGTGTGTGTGTGTGTGTGTGTGTGTGTGTGTGTGTGTACTTGAAAAAGAAATGACCTAGGGTATCTGATTGGTTTTAGGGACTTGGTAAAGCTTTTGGATTGTTTGCTTCCTGGGTTTCCCTACAGGACGGAATATTTCCCCTTGCATCCAACATCATAAAGAACTTCCTTCCAAGACAAAGATTTATAGAGAAAATCACTACACAATTGCTAAGCTCTGTGAGAAACTCTTACTCAAAACATAGATGGGCAGCTTCTACGATATAACATCAAAAGGTAATCCTGGCTTCCACACACAATATATTTGTGCATACAAGCATACAGAGCAAGAGAGAGATTCACTCACAGTGATATTTATGTTATCTAGATATACTATCCAAATAAAAGCACTCACACAGAGAGAGAAATTCATAATGACAATCACGTTATCTAACCAAATCTCAAAGAATGTCAATAAATTTTTAAGGGAATATAAATTATTTCATGAATTATTTCATTTTTGCAAATAAGTCCATGAGCATACATGTGTGTGAATTGGAAAACAACAAGCTGGACATAAAACAGTGTGGCAATTTTTGTTTCTGTGTTATAGACTAAATATAATTTCACCATCTATTTTTTAATTTGGTGTTGATGGTATTATTTATAACAAGTGTGTGTTATATAATTAGATAAATTGAAACTAATTTTGAGAAAAAGAAAAAAATATATTTTTCTGGTCATATATCTATACAACCAGTAGGAAGAAATCTGTATAATGAGAAAAGGGCCACAGAGCTCAAACACTGAGAAATCCACATGCAACAGAGCCAAAGCTAGATCTGAGACACTGGGGTGCAGCCATGTTTCTGGGTGACAGGAAAGAGCTCCTAAGGACTTGCTTTCTCTTAGTAAGTGTGGCAGTAAGTGTGACAGTGTCTCCACAAAAGCAACTCGGGCCTGGTGGATCCATTTTCACTGCTAAAGATACTATAGAAAGGTTTCTATGTTATCTTCCTGAAGGGGAAAATGATGGAAATGCCTTCAGTGTAGTCTGAGGCAATTTCGCTTGCTTTAAAATCATTTCACAGTTCCTCATTCACCCTGTGCAAAACGTCCATTTGCCCCTCTGTCCCCCTGTCCTTTTCCTGACCCTGCCATGTCTGCCGACTCTCCAATAGGAATCAAAGCTAAGGCCTCCCCATCGCTCCTGGGCTCTGCCTGCCTGACAGCGGGACTGGCAGACCCAGGGGCATGGTGGAGGGAGAGATGGAGCGTTCATTCCACGGACATCCTTTCCCACCTACTGAGAAAGGACTCCTGTCATAGCATTCCCCCTCTCTCCTTCAAACCTAGGGACGGGGCACATCCTACCGCCATACCACACTGCTTGGGGGCCTTCACTCTCCGCCTGCCCCTTAGAAAATGGCCCTTTTATTCAACTCTCCTCAAATTACACGGTGGGGCATGCCATCTGTTTCCTGCTAATACAAAAGCTTATCTGTAAAACAGGTTAAGAGGTCTACACTCTGTTTTATTTCTTCAGCTCTGTGATGCTCAGGAGATGCAGTTCTGCATGGTCTGCAGCAGACCTGGTCAGGACTCTGCCCATGCTGCCCTGCCTGCACCTCTTGGCTCACTTCCTCCGCTGTCATTTCCAAAGCCACTATCTACTCTCTTTGTTGGCGATATCCTCCATCTACCAGAACCCCTTTGTCTATGCACCGGAAAAGTAAAAAGGGTGCCTAAAAACATCCATCTCCCATTCCTAGCAGCAGCTAGTTAATGGCAGATAGCATCAGTCTATAAATATTTCAGGTTCCTCATCTTTGGTAGGGACAAATGTGAGGTGTGATACTCACCGCGCCTACATACACGCTGCTGGGCTGAACTTGAACAGGGTATTTCCTATGGACTGAACGGGCACAGGAAGTTTCCTCGGGTTTCTCCCCTGCCCTTACTTTCTCTTCTCTTTCCCATCCCCACTCATCTATGTGTTTTTCCTTGTTATATACTCATACAGCTCTTCTGTTCAATTTCCCATCACAGGGCATCCCAAATTTAAATCAGCAACCACACGGCAGGCATTAGAAAATGGAACTTATCATGTAACAATAATAAAAATTCATGTTTGAAATTCATGCCAGATCGATGTTTTGTGATCAACTGGGAATTTGTATCATTCATTTTCAGCCCCGTGAGAATTTTCTGAAGAACAATGCCCTAGGAAGAATTCATTTGTTTTCTTGGGCACCTTTTAAATTTTGAGGTAAGAGATTACAAACCGTGGGCTGGGATGAAGTCACTTTGCCTGTTAGGCGTGCAATGAGGCTGTGAAGGATAGGGAGTGAGCCGTTCCATGCCAGGTCTCTCCTAGAAATACAGGGCTGGGAGAGTGACCAGTGCTCAGCGAGCTAGTGTACTTGCTCATCACCGTTTTCACAAGCGGGGTGGGGGCGGGGGGGGGGGGGGGGGAGATTCAGAACTGAGTCATCTCTCATGTCTCCTCTAGAGAACAAGGATCTCCGTAAAATCAGAGCAATGGATGGAAACGAGACCAGAAAGACACGGTTCATTATCTCCCTATTTCAGCCTTTTACTTTGATAAGTGAGGTGACCGAGTTGGAAGAATTTGGATGGCTCTTGCAGAGCCATTCAGCTGACTCCTGGAAGTTCCGGACTCAGCCCCAGGTGCCAAAGTTCTAAATAAGTGAGCTCCCTTCCACAATGCTACTTATTCTCCTTCAGGATTATTTAAAAACCCTTCACAATTCTACAATATACAAGCTTACTCTTGATTTTCTCAGATAATTGTTGTAATTGTATCAGAAAGCTAAAAGGCTTTAACATAATTACCAACATGCATTGATGTTAATTCTTTGCAAGATCATTAGAAACTTTATATCCATTTTAAACATGACTTTAAAAATAGTAAAGAGAGAATACAGATCATTTTCTTTT